GGAATTCTTTATTGTCTTGAACTAAGGTTACAAGGAAGAATGTTTATAATCACTAAACCTAAGCTGGTAGTAATTTAACCGACAAATCCTGTCTCCTAGCAGCCTTAAGAACATTGTTAATGTAAGTATAAAATTACCTATGATTACAAGTAGAATAAATGTAGCTAATATGCGGCTTCTAACTTTTAATAAAAATATACTAAAGTGTAGGAGAGTCAAAATCTCAAATAAAGGGATGCTAATAAAATCATGAATAAATCAGAGAATGATTCAAGAAAAAGATAAAAAATAACTAAGGGCCTTTGCATAGAGTTTTTTCCCTTGTGGCTTTGCCATCCAAGGAAAACACTCATTGTCACTTTGCTAGAACAATGAGCACCTCATGCGCAGGGTCCCTGTCGTCTCATTTCTTTATTTCAATTCCTTGATTAATATGTCATCCCTTCATTTCAATTCCTTGATTCATATGGCCCCTGCCACTCCACCTTTCCTAATTGTTGGGGATTTGTTCCCCTGAGGCCTAAGCGCACTGCTGGGCTCCCCAGGCTGCTAGTTCTTATTATCAATTAAGATGAGACCTGTCTAGACTAGGAACTGACCGGAGGAGGACTCTGAGGGTGCCCCCAGTCCATTTCCTTACACTGGAAGGAGATGTACACACTCCTAACCCTTGCACTGGGCTGGTTCCTGGGGTGGGGTGGCAATGAGATTTAATCTTTTCTCTTCCCACCTGCCTGATGGAGGCTCTGCTGAGTGGAGGACCTGGAACCCATCTGCCTTGAGGTGAAGGCCCTTGGGAGCGTTCTGCTTCTTCCCAGCTTTCTGCCTGGCGTGACTTTCAGAGGGATTCTTCTAGAAGGAAGTCCCACTATGCACAGCAGAGGATAGGTGTGCACTTTGGAAGCAGAAGGGGGTGTAGTAATGTACCTGTTATTCCAGAGAATGCCCTGGGGGAAGGACAGTGGGCAAAGCTCCCTCCATGGGCTTAGGTAATATTTCTGAGACTGGCCATTATTAAAATAATTTAATTTACATTTTTTCTGAGACTTGTCTGCTCATGATCCTTGCACATTTCTTGAATTTGAGTGGCCTAGGCCAGCAGGCCAGGGACTGGCCAAGCTGCACTTGGGTACTTATATCAGCACTTGGGCACCAAATGGTCTGGGTCCACCAGACAGGGAGTGAAGGATCAGCACCTGAATACCAAGTGGTCTGAGCCCACTAGTCAGGGAGTCAGGGTCCAACCTCAGAGCTCAAGCTGGGTCCACCCCATACCCACCTACTCCTTGGATGGCCTGCCTCTGGTCCCACAAAATGGGAAAATCCAGCTCAATCTCACTCTTTCATGGCAGCAGGCCCCAGGCGGAAACCTTTCTTTACCCTGGTGTACCCCACCCCAGACCTAAGAGGCTCATCTTCCTTTCCTGGGGCCCCATGGTCTATGACTCACCTGCTGACTGCAGTGGCCAGTCCCAGGTGGGCAGCGCTGAGCCTCCAAGTGCTATTCTTGCCAAGCATCAAAGCAGTTCAACAGTCACAACTGATGTTGTGTCTGGGGAGGCCTTTGCGCCGAGGCCAGATTTGGGGCATGTGTCTGAGGCCTGCATGAAGTCTAGAGAAGCTCCTGGAGTCTTTTGGGTAGCCATGATTGGAATCTAGAATTCAGGCCACACATTCTCTCCCCATGCTCCCTCCCTATTCCAGCCTAACAGCTGGAGGGTCTATCCTGGGAGCTCCAGGGCTTGACTCCTGCCAAAACCCATCTTGTTCTTGCAGGGCCCATGCCCACCCTGCAGCTCTGGCTCTGGTTCCGGCTCGGACTGTCCTCAGTCTCCCTGAAGAGGTGGCCCTGCTACAAACAAAGAATAGACACCCCTCCCTCCAGCAACTCCTCATCATTTTTACTTTCTGTGTCTCCAGCTCTCTGACTAGGCATTGGAAATGTTGAATTGTAGCCCCTCCAAAGATATGTTGAAGTTCTAACCCTTGTACCCGTGAAGTGAGCTTGCTTATAAATAGGGTTCTTGCAGATATAGTTACCATAAGGTCTTACTGGAATAGATAGGTCCTAATCTCATGTGAGTGATGTCCTATTAAAAAAGATCCAAAGACTGATGGGGAAAGATGACCATGGGGAAAGATGGAGACAGAGTGATGCTGCCACAAGCTAAGGAATAGTGGGTCACCAGGAGCTGGAAGAGGAAAAGAAGGACCCACCCCTTACTCCCCAGAGCCTTCAAAGGCAACCCAGCTCACCCTGAATTCAGACTTCCAGTCTCTAGAACTTTGAGACAATAAACATCTATTGCTTAAAATCTTCCAGGTGTAGTACTTTGTTACACATCCTAGGATACTCATACAGGATGTGTGGAAATAACAATAAAGATTTGGAGGAAGCCTTCATCACCATCAGCCCCCTACCTCCAACACAACCTCCCTGCTGGTGGTGTTCATGTGCCATGGAGTCAGTTCCGACTATAGCGACCTTGTGCAGGGTTTCCGAGGCTGTAAATCTTTATGGGAGCAGAAAGTCTCATCTTTCTCCCGTGGAACAGCTGGTAGTTTCAAACTGCTGACCTTGCGGTTTGAAGCCCGCAACCTCCCTGGGAGAGCTCAAATGCATGGTTAGTTCAATTTGGCTGGGGGCATTGTTATGGAGACAACTGCTATGGTGGCCAAGCTGGGACAAGGGGAAGTTCAGTCATAATCAGCATAGAGGAAGACAATGGCAGGAGTGTGAGGAGGCTGGGATCTTTTTCTGGGCTGAGGGTGGAGTCTGCAGCTTTCTCAGTGCTCCATCTGGTAGGAGTGAGCTGTCATGAAGGGTCATTAATTTGAGGACTGCACTCCTCAGTTTGACTGTGATTCTGATACCTGGACCCTCTACTTTTTCCTCACTGGGCAGCTGGAATTGGGTCCACCAACCTATGCAAGGGACACATGTGGTGGATGGGGCATGTTCCCTAGCATCTGCCCTGCACACGGAAGCCAGGTATACCTGGCTCAGATATGAGGGGACTCTCTAAGAGTTTTGTACATACTTGTCAGCTCTGGGAGTCTGTTGGGCTCTTAGGGGGATTCTGGGACTCTCACTTATCTCGGCAGTGTCCATTAGTGATACCTGAGGCAGTGAGTGCTCCACTAACCAGGGTGTAGTTTCTGGCCACTGAGACTCCTGGCTGCGCTGACCTTGTGTGGTCATCAGCTCTTGGTGAAGCTGACTGACTCACCGGAACCACAGTCATGCCTAATGCTGGTCACCACCACATTATGATCCTGTTGCTCGGGCGTGGGGTGGGAGGGTAGGGGGGCAAGGAGCTAGTTTGAACATGAGTGGGGGGGTAAGGGCTTGTAGCCAAAGTTACAGAGGGCCAGAAGGGTGTATCACAGGATGGTATACAATCATTCCTGAACCACTATTTGATCTTGACTTAAACAGTTTCAATGTGGCAAGATCACCTTGTTTGGCTATAGAGCATTTTCTTTTATTACATTAATGAACACACACCAAAGTAGGTTGAGTCCTAAACCTAATTACTTCCTAGTGGTGCCTTATACAAAGAACAGAAGAGACACTGACACACACACAGGGAAGATGGAGATCATGGAGGAAACACCTACAAGTTCAGGAATGTCAAGAATTGCTGCAGTTACTAACAGCTGAAAGAACCAAAGAAGGACATTCTCCTAGAGCTGACACCCCAAATTTGTACTTTTAGCCTCCAGAATTGTGAGGGGAAAAAAAAAACTCTCTCTTTTTTAAAATTTTGATAAATGTAGGACTAGGTAACTAAGACACTTTTACCCATTGCTATCATCTTTCGGTCTGTCTGTTCCTTTTCTCTCCATACTCAGATACACAAACACACACATGCATATCATTAAACTTTCTTACAGACATTGTGGCACTTCGTTTGGAGATAGAGGAAAGATCCAAGCAGTGGAATTCTCAGGCCTAAGGCTGTTTTGTTGTTGTTAAGTGCTATTGACCCATAGCAGCCCTGTATAGGGGTTCTGAGGACTGGCTGGTGAACTTGAACCACCGATCTTGCGGTTCAAACCGACCTGGCAGTCCCGTGCATTAACCCGCAGTGCCACATTTAGAAGGGTAGATTTCCTGGCTGAGATGTGCAGTCATGGACATGCAATAGAGGCCATACCTACCCACCTCAACAAAGAGAAGGCTGTCAAGCAGAATGCTGTTGAGCCTCAGCCTCAGGTGACACAGGGTTCCCAAGGGAATCCTGGGATTGCGGGGTCACGGTCAGTCCTGGAGGCTGAAGACTCATAATGAGGTTGGGCATGTGAACGTGCCGGGGTGCCCTCTACTGGAAGGGCTGAGTGAGAAAGAGAGACTGGCAGGGGCTCCAGGAGGTAGGTGGTTCACAAGCCTTTATTGGAAGGGTGTGTGTGTCTGTGCATCAGCAAAGTCGCAGGACTCACTACAGCCTGACCTCAGGCAGGTAAGGATGCCCTCAGCCAGACGATGAGCTGCAGGACCCGGAGGAACAGACGCTAGCATGGAAGGCAGGGTGATAGCTGAGGACAGACAGATTCAGAAGGAAGCATCCTGCTTGGCTGAACCATACAGCACAGAGGTCTAAGGAGCACTAGAGGGTGGGCGTGGCTGTCGGGGAGGAGCGGGGACCTTGACAGAGGGATTTGGTAGGGGCAGGGCGGTAGTGAAAAGGGGTTGAGGGAAAGGAATGGGCAGACCAGTGGGTAGGGAGAGCTGCCCGGGTAACTCCAGGGTAGGGACAAGGATCTGGGAGTGGAAGCTTCCTAAGGTGCCGAGGCGTTGTTCCTGCGAGCACAGAGGACCCGCTGCCAGGCAGAAAACAGCAAGGTCTCTAATGGTCCCACAGCACTCCTCCGCACAAAGCTTTAGCACCAATGACCGCACGTCCGAGGCCCGTGAAGGCAGGGTCGCAGTGCAGGCCCACGTTCACGGGGCGGGGCCTCGGCGGGGCGCGCAGACCTAGGCGGGGCGCGCAGACCTAGGCGGGGCTAACAGATCCAGCGGATGAACCTGTCAAAAAAGCTAGGCTGCACTAAGCTGTCGTAGTCCTTCTCACGGAAGATGGCAGACGTGTCACCCAGGCTGATCTTGGACAGCACGTCCATGTCCACATCGTTGCCTACGGCCACCACAGTGGGCACCACGTTGTGCTTGCGCATGGAGTGCACCGATTCCTCCAGGCTCTCGTTCCCCGTGACACCATCGGTGAGGAACACGAAGGAGAGCTCAGCGTGGCGCCGGGCCCCACCCCGCGCACTGCGCACCACCGTGTTGATGGCTTGCACAACGCCGGTGCCCACGTGCGAGAAGGAGTTGAGGTAGCGTGCGTGCTCCAGTGCCTCGTGGATGATTGTCAGGTTGGCAGTCAGCGGGAAGGCCACCTGCTGCTCTTGCGGGCTGCCGTACTGTAGCAGCGCCACGCGGGCATTGAGTGGGTCGTCGTCCTGGCGCGCCAGCGTCAATCGCCGCGACACCTCCTCCACGAAGCGCCGGGCTTTGAAGAAGTTCTGCTCACCCAGCCGCTCAGAGCCATCCAGCAGGAAGACGATGTCCACGGGCCGCTGTGTGCACTGGGCCACGTACAGTTCTGGAGGAGGGGGGGAGACGTGCAGTGGGGCTGGGTAGGCAGCGCCAGAGGAGACAGAGCCCTGAGTCTGCCCAGGTTTTCTGGGACAAGCCAGAGCCCAAGACCCCCAGGTGGCACCCTGCTTTGACTGAGATCTGGCACCTTGGACTTCCAGATGATATCCGGCTTTGCCCAAGACCTGCCGTCCAGGACCCCAGGTGATGCTCCACTGTGACACCTAAGAGCCCTGTCCAAAGGCTGGCATCCAGGACCCCCAAGTGATGTCCCACTATGGCTGAGATCCAATACAGAAGACCCCAGGTGACTCTTTCCTAAGCTTTACATCCAGCACCCAGGCTCCAAGGTGACTCCTGATCTATTACTTGTTGGCTAGCACCTGCTCTGGCCAACACCTGACCTAGAACCCCAAGGAGGTCCCCCACTCTGGCCATACCCTGTACTCGTTCTCTCTTTATGCACCCCCTTGTAGACAGAGCCCATGATGGATGGCTGGAACTTCCGGTGGGGCCCTCACCCAAAGTCAACTTCCGACCGAGGCCCTACCACAGTTCCTCAGGACCTGCTGCCATCTCCCCTTCCTCATTTTCCCACTAGGATATGTTCTCAAACCTGAGAGCAGAGACCCTGGCAAGGCCAAGGGTCTCAGTTCCTACCCTCTAGGAACCATCTCAGTCTCGACCTAGGACCACCAGGGCCCCAGTCTGGTGCCCACTCTGAGCTCTTGAGGAAGTTGATGTCCACTGGCACAGGTGTTGGGCCCACCTGCACAGGTGTTGACCAATTTCCATATTCAGCGCAGGCCTGCTGAGCTATCCCTATTTGACCTCTGCAAATTCATTCAAGTCTGGGTGACTTTCTGCTTTTATGGAATGTCTAGTGGTAAGGAGCTCTGGTAGCGTAGTGGTTACGAATCGGGCTGCGAACCTTAAGGTCAGCGGTTCGAAACTACCAGCCGCTCCGCGGGAGAAAGATGAGGCTTTCTACTCCCGTAAAGATTTACACCCTCGGAAACCCTGTACAGGGTCGCTATGGGTCGGACCCGACTCGATGGCACTCAACAACAACAACAACAACAGTGGTTATGAGTCGGGCTGCTAACTGCAAAGTCAGCAGTTCGAAACTACCAGCAGTTCCGCAGAAGAAAGAGGTGGCTTTCTGCTCCCATAAAGATTTATAGCTTTAGAAACGGATACAAGGTCACTATGGGTCAGAACGGACTCCACGGCACACCACCACCACCACCAAACTCTGCTCACTGCATTGGAAGACTCGCCCTGGACACACCCTCCCCAGAGGTACAGGCAGAGGGTGCTTGCTGCAGACAGGACTCTTTAATGAGCTTATTGAAAACAGGAGCTTATTCTGGCCAGTGTGCCAACCAAGACCAACTTTCCAATTACATGGCTGAGACTAGCTTAAGACACCACCCTCCTAGTGTGTTCTCAGTGCTCTGCTATGCTCCCCAAGTTCCATCATAATAAACATTGCCACATGATTACTACAGACACCCAGTTGTGGAGTGAGGGCCTGGGTCTGTGGGACTTATAACCCAGTACCTTGACATCACATGAGGTGGGAGTGGGGTGAAGGGGCTGGGGACCTACCGAGGCTGTGGTTAAGGCAGTACTCCACATTCTCTCGTCTGCCAGTAACCCCACAGTGGGATTCCCACTCCCACTCTGGCCCAGCCCTCCTTATGCATGGGGAGAAGATAAGACCTACCCTAGAAGATTTTCTTAATCTAGCTTCTTGGGGGAGGAAAGAGTGAGTTTAGGAATGGGAGATGCCACATCTGTGGGAGCCTCCTCAAAGGGAGGATGCCTGGTCCATTTGGGTAGCTCCTTGCGGGTCCCGAAGGTGGGAGGGAGGACAAGGGCTTCCAGAGACCTGGCTGCCACAGGTGTGAAGACACAGTCTGGGTCACCAGGTCTGCATGTGGATGTACCACGGTGTGGCTGGCCTCACAGAACCTTGGCCTTGAGCGGATTCCTTACACGTGCCCTGACAGGAACTGTGCATGCACACAACTAGCACGTTGGGTCAATACTGCACCTGAAGCTCAACCCAAGTCCAGGCAGGGGCAGTGCCAAGCACCCTGGACTGTGTTCTGCCCTTGTCTGCATCCTCTAAGCACACAAGGCAGCTCACTAGACTTGGGGGCTATGGGTGGTTCAATAATGGCTCCCCAAAGATACACATACTTCTCTTAATCCCTGGGACCTGTAAATGGACTATACATGGAAGAAAAGGACTTTGAAGATGTGATTAAGTTAAGGCTTTTGAGATGGGAAATGATCCTGGATTATCTGGGTGGGCCCTAAATGCAATGACAAGTGTTCTTGGAATAGGGAGGAAAAGGGAGAAAACACAACTGGAAGAGGCAGAGATTGGAATGATGCAGCCACAAGCCTAGAACAGCTGGGGCCACTTTAAGTAGGAAGAGCTAAGGCTCCTATAGAGCCTTTAGAGGGAGCCTGGCCCTACTCACACCCTGAATTTGAACTGTTGGCCTCCAGACCGTGAGAGAATGTTTCTGTTGTTTCATCTGTCCAGTGTGTGGTAGTGTGTGCTAGAGCAGCCGGAGGACACTAATTTGTGGTAGGGCCAGTCTGACCATCCCTGCACATAGGTGGGTTGCCCCAGCTTCAGCAGAGTGCCAGTACAGTCTCAGGGTCCCCCACGATGTCCCTGTGCACCAGCTTAAAGGTGTCAATGAACAGCTCCATCCAGTCCTGCCGCTCAACCCCTGTGGCAAACTTGGCCCGCTCAGCAGTGTAGACCAGTACGGCCACCAGCCTGGAGTAGGCGGCAGGGTCCTGCGTGAGCTCCGTGGCGTTTAGCAACTGTTGGATCAGGGGGATGGTCCGGGGAAAGGTGGTGTCGGGCCCCTCTTCCGTGCGGAGGAAGGTGACCTGAGGCGCCCCGTTAGGCTGTGGTCCATCTGCAAGGGAGTGTCCAGAGAAGGGTTTAAGGGCATGGGTGTGTGAGCGGCCATTAGCCGCCCTCCTGGGGCTGAGGACTTAGGGTATCTCTCTGCAGAGACAAGAGTTTGGACCAAAGCGGGGAACAATGATTAGGTTCAGCCAGGGAAAGTGAGCTGGACGAGGAGGCCCTCTAGCGGCTAAGGGATGGGAACTAGATGGGGAGTTTGGGGAGATGGTAGCCAGACAACAGTGCCCAGGAGGCAGAAGCAGAAGCATTGTCGTCAGAAGGCACTGCATATGTGGTGGTTCTGACAGAATCAGGCCAGCCGGGGGTCTGGTCTGAGCCTGCATGTCGCCGGAGTTCTGGGTATGTGACCATGTGGCCTGGAGGTCAGGGCTGTGCCAGCTTCACACACTAAGGATGCCATTTGCAAAAGCATGCTCAAAAGTTCCATCTATCTTTGATCTTCTGTGTCACTAAGTTTGATTTATTTCTTTAGAAATTTAAATGACTTTAAAGAAGAAGGAGCACTGGAAGCTTAGCAGCAGAAGGGAACCTAAGGAGGCAGAGAAGGTTCTCAGTATCTCTAAAGGGGCTGCACCTTTTAGCTAGCGGGAGAGGGACCCCACTGTGGCTTCCAAAGAAGCAGCAGGCTGTGTTGCTGTGATCCCTCACCAGCTTCCTGCTGGCCTGCCTGCCCTTCCTCATCTTCAGAGCCAGTCAGAGCCACCTCCCCTACTGTGGGGGAAATTGCTCCTCCTTAGATCACTGTCCTTAGGAGTCTGAGCCACTGCTAGACCTCAGTTGCAGGAGCTGGTTTCGCCCCCTGGAGGGTCACTTCAAGCATGCACTGCGCTTGCCTCTCCTCACATAAGACCTGGACTAGGCTGGTCAGGGAATTCCACCCCATGAGGGCCCAGGTACACTCTTTAGAGCATCCTGGGCCCCACAGCAACTCCTTACACTGCCCACCCATTGAAGGGCCCCAGGTAGCCACCGTGTCCATCCACCCAGGGACCAATGCTGGGCCTTAAGTATAGACCTTAGTCACTGTGTCTGTGGTAGAAACAGTGGCAGCTGCATTAAGGTCTTTGCCATTTCCAGTCTGGGGGTGCTGGCACTCTGGGGACCATGCACAGTGTCCCCAGCTAACTCTGAGCTGGGCGCTGAAACTGTAGGTAAAGCTCCCTATATCTTGCTAATGTCACTGGATCTAAGGCCTAGCCACAAAGTACAGCCATTCCCCTGTTTCAGCACGTTTCTTGTCTTGGACTCCTCAGAGCCTTTAAATATGCTCAGGGCCCCCAACATATTCCAGATAAGGAAGCCGCTTCATGGACAGCCTAGACCAGACACAGAACATGTGTACTGAGGAGCCCTGCCTGTGAGATGCTGACTTAGATTCAGACACATGGCACGGATATGACCTCCCACACAGATGGAGATGGGAATCTGCAGGCACAGATGCAGACATGGCCTGAGACATGGTCACAGACAGAAATAGACAGAATGTAGACACTGACACAGACTCTCTGCCTCCCCAGCAGTCACTCCTCTATGAGTTGGCTCCAGTGATTGGCCCAGCAGGACCTACCTCCCAGCAAGGAGGCTCAGGAGGGTGGGGCAGGGCTTGCCAAGGGCTGATTTAGCTCCTGATGTCCCCAGGGTCCTGCCTGTGGTTCCCAGCCCCTCAATCACTGATCAGTTGTCACCATGAAAACAATAGGTACATGACCAGCCAGAGTAGAATGATGCCTACTCCTTTCCCAGGCACCTGGGCACCTGTGGAACACTTCTGCTGGACAGTCACCTGAACCCCGCAGCAGCTCCATACCAGTCGCCAGCCACCTTGACCCCTCAACAGCTCCCAACCTCTCATGTGCCCTTGACCCCTCACCAGGCCTTCCATCACTTCACCAGGCTCTCCCAATACTTTGTCAGGCTTCTAACCCCTTACCAGTTCCTGAATCCTTGCTAGGTTCCCATCAGGTCAGCCCCCACAATCTACTGCTAGCCTTTCAACACTTCACCAGCCCCATCCCTCACCAGATACTTGACTCATCACCAGGCCCCAGGTACAACACCTCATCAGCTCTTGGATAACTTACCAGGCTACTGACACCTCACCTGTCCCCTCTCCTCAACAGGATCCATCACCGGACCCCCAAAACCTTGCCAGGACCCACGACACTTCCACCAGTCCCCCAATACCTCACCAGCCCTTCACCTGACACACCTCACTAACTCCCCAACCCTTGCCTGGCTGTGCACCCCCAGTTCTCTAGTCTTACACTCACTCTTGCCCCTCATACACTAAATCCAGGGGCGTGGGCTCCCTCGATCCAGCGTCTACCCCAGGGGAGGGTGAGCAGCAGTGGCCATGCGCAGTAGCAGCACAGTGGGTTGGTTAGGAAGCAGCGCTCCGGGTCTATAGCTGTGAGGTTACTGCAGGCTTACTTCCTGGATGACCTTAACTAGTCCTCTGATTTACCGAGTCCAGCCTTCCCTCCCTAGCACATTGCCCAGTCTGGCCTGTCGTTGGTTTCCAGTGGCCGAAAGTCAAAAGCAACCCTTTATCTACCATGTGCCAGGCGAATGAGGTAGCCCCACAGCCCAAGGGTTGCCAGGTCACAGGTTCGCAGACCACCCCTATGTCCTGGAGCCTCCGCTTGGTCCCCTCATCTCTAGGCTCAGAGTCCTGGGGTTGAAATCACCCATGTGGTCTGAGATGTGAATCTCGGAACTGCCTCACTAAAGAAAGGCTCTGAACGTGGGCACTGCCCTTGGGTCCCAGCACAGGCCCCTAGGTCCCCATCCCCCTTCTCTTGGCTGCATCCATGTTGTCTGAGAGGGCTGGGGTGGCTCTCTGTATTACCTGTTTGGCAGGGCAGTTCCGGGCAGACAATTTGGGGGTCTGCAAAAGAAGAAAACAGACCAAGAGTCCTGGTCAGTCTCCAATGAGTCCCATGTGGTGTTGACCCACAGCCCAAAGAGCAAGGGGTGAGGCTGCTCTGCTGATGGGGTGTTCTGTATTGACATGTGGAAATATTGATTCCTGTGAATGTGACCTCATTTAGGGAAATAAGGTGTTTCTTAGCAGTTAGCAAGGTCATATGGGAGTAGAATGAATTCTTATCCTACATGATTGGTGTCTTATAAAAGAAACGAGACATGGAAACAGTCACACAGATGGGGAGACAACACGTGAGGACGCATCTACAAGAAGCAAAGGAGTGTCAAGGAGCCAGGGAGAGAGGCATGGTGCTGCTCCTGAGGCCTCAACACAGCCAACACTCTGTCCTTGGATTCACAGCCTTCAGGACTATGAGACGATGATAAACGTCTGTTCTTAGATGCCTCCCCCTGACTTTGGGGTATTTGCTACAGCAGCACCAGGACATCCAGGCATAGAGCTTTGGGTGAGGCTGGATTCTGTTCCCATCTGTGATTGCCTGGAACTCCTGTGTCATAAAGATGGGAGCAGGGGCTCAACCAGTGCATGGAAGGGCCCCTAGGACTTTCATGGACCATGGCAGGAGGCCTGCCCACCTGCTATGGATCCAATTGTATTGGATTCTCAGCTTGTGGACCTGGGGGTATAATTCTGTTTGGGAATAAGGATTTTCTGTTATGTTATGAGGTCCAGAGTAGAATGGATCCTTAACCTATTCAACAAGGTCACTTCTTAGTTACAAAAACCCAGAATAGACACAGACATATATGGAGGAAGAGGAGGAGCAGGGATAAAGACAGGTCATCTACAAGGATTGCTGGCAGCTCTTAGGAGCTAAAAGAGACAAAAACCTTCTCCTGGAACTCAAGCCTTGAATTCAGACTTCTAGCTTCCTGAACGGTTAGAAAATACATGTCCTATTCTTCAAAATCATAACCTGTGTTATATCTTGTTACAACAACTCTAGGAGACAAAGACAGTGTCTCTCCCTCCCAGCTTCCCTTTGCCCCTGGTGGCCAGCGGCCCCTCACCCGGGCACAGGATGTCCTCCATGTCATCGATGAACTTCTCAGCCACCAGGTCAGAGAAGAGTGTCATGTTGCGCACCTGCTGGGGCTTGTTGCAGGTAATGGAGTTGAGGTTCTCGCTTTCATGTTGCTCATGGAACATGTCACCAATGCCAATGGCTGTGACTGTGACGTCATCATTTCTGCAGAGTATTGGCAGGTTCAGGTCATCATCCCGTGGGTCATGGCGCCCATCTGTGATGACCACTGCGAAGACGCGGGTTTTCTGCCGCCGGCTCTCCTTGATGAGCTTGTCGTAGGTGAACTTGAGGGCTGAAGGTGTCCAGGTACCGCCAGCGATCCACTCGAGGTTCTTGACAGCCTCTTTGAAGCTGGACAGCGAGTCGATGCGCTTGTCATCTAGCTGGATGGCCTCGAAAGTGCCCTCGTGACTGTACTGCACCACGCCTACACGTGTGCCTGCAAGAGCCGGTGGTGTGCCTTGTCAGTACTGACCTCATCCCACAGCCCCTGAAGATGCCCCAGGCCTCTTGGTCCCAGAGGGGGCTATTTTTGGGGTAGCTCTGCAAAGCTCAAGAACCCCTTTCTTAGGTGGACGCTGTTTGAGTTTCTGTCACCTAAATTCCTGTGTCCTGCCCAGCTTTCCTGGCCATAAATGAGGTCTTCCTTCATGCCAAAGCCAAGAACCTCCCACCCACCGCCCTACTCCTGTGGTGGACAGCCTCTGACCTGTCTCTGACTTGGGGTCCTTGGCGATGGCGCCCAGCCGGTTGACCACATTGATGACAAAATTTTTCTCCAGAGTGAAGTTGGTGTAGCCGATGCTCTCAGAGCTGTCGATGACAAATACCACATCCAGGGCACCACAGCGCTTCTCACAGTCTGGGGGTAGGGTGGGTGGTATCAGCCTCGGGAGGAACGGGGTGCTTGTGCTCACCCCAGGGGAGAAGGAAAACTCACCCACCCCCAGTGCCACAGGGATAGAGGAGATAGGAACTTGGGACAGAAGGTCTGCCCCTCTGTGAGCACACTGGCTTCTCCATGTCCCTGTCCTGGGAGTCACCGGTAGGCAGACCCTGGGTTCCTTGGGACATCCCTAGTGTGACAGATTCCTGGGAGCCTGAGTGGGCAGGGACTTACCACAGCACCCGCATGTCTCCCTCACGTAGGTCATGACATCACACTCCTGCAACATGAAGCAGAGGTCATCTCAGAGTTCAGGACTAGCCTCCTGTGTCCCAGGCTCTGGAAGAGCATGGCCCATGGAGGAGGCTTCCCAGGGATGGAAGAAGCCCAGAAAGATATTTCTGCATGAAGAGTCCCTGGGCTTCTGTGTGCATCAGGAGGGTTCATAAGTGTCCAATAGCATGTGGGAGGGAGGCAAGCAATTCTCCTGCACCCACGGACCACATCTCTGCACCCTGCACCCAGCTTTCTGGTTTTTAGAAAGAAGAAGGAGGCTCTCAAAAGGAATATGCTGATTTCACACTGGGGGTGACACTTACTGTGAGACCAGGGTCTCCGGGGGGGCCAGGCATACCCTGGAGGGAGGAGAGAACTGTCAGAGCTGAGGCTGGGTGAGGCCTGGTCATGAGTCCCAGAGCCACCCACACTCTGCACACCACCTACCAGTGGACAGACCTACCTCGGGCCCTGGGACTCCTTTTGGCCCCCGAGGACCTGGTTCACCAGGGGGACCAGGATCTGCCTGAAAAGGGAAGAGTAAGTGGATCTCAGTAAATACCCTGGCAGCGTCTCTGCATACCACAGAAGCATGTGCTCCCCACCCACTACCCCTGCCTGGGTGGGTCTGGAAGGAGACTCCTTGGTCTCCTGCTCTATGCCTGGCCATTGAGGAACAGAGAGACCAATAGAGCTTGCAGATTAGCTTGGAAAGAGTAGAGAAAACAACTTCCCTGGAACTCTGGGCCCTTCTCACTCCTGATCATCCAATACTTATCCATCCATCTACCCATCATTTCATCCTTCCCTCATTCACCACCTATTCACCTATCAATGAACTCACTCACTCATCCACCTACCCATCCATCTCTCCACCAACTCATCTACCCACCTATCCATTTATCCATCCACCCATCTATCCAACCATCCATCTACCTATGTATCTGCTCACCTATTTACCTGCCTATCAACTCATCCAACGTTTTTCTGTCAAATGCCAAAAACAGTATCCTCCCCTCTTTTCTCTTTTACTCATTCTTTCATTCACTCTCCAGTCCTTGTTGGGTCCCTTCTCTGTGCCTGGCCCCATGCTAGGAGTGTGAAGGTGCAGATGACGTGGTCTGGGCCCTGCTAACGAGCGCCTGCTTTAAGGAGTGATGCTGTGGCTGAGTGGGAGCTGGGTAAAAAGGGAGGGTTGCTCTGATGTGAGCTGGGTGTCACATAGTGCCTTGGGATCCAGAGCCCAACTGTGCTCTTCCAGAGGTGTGCTGTGTATGTGGGTGCTTGGAGCCAGGTCAGCCTTGACATGCTCCTGGTGTGCGGTGAGATGTCCACTCAGTTAGGTGAGCAGCCCCTCCCGAGTCTGGCCTGGTCAGGGCCAATGCCAAAGATACTCACAGGCTCACCCTTCTCTCCTTTGCGCCCAGGGTCTCCTTTCACGCCAAAATCTCCTCTGCCTCCCTGAGACACAGGACACAAACGTCACTCATGGAATAGAGAGGAAGACTTCCCGGAGACCCTTCCAAGCCCTCCAAGGTCTTTATTGAGTCTTCCAGCAAAACTGTGAGCTTGGCAGTTTGTTAAACGGCCATGTTTTAAAGTATTTAGACAGCCTCTAGTTTTTTGTCTGAGATGACAATGGCACATTCCCAGCACCCCAAGTCAGACAAATGAGCACCAAGAGACTTCAGTGGGGTTGGGAAAAGGGAGCATCAAGGGAAGTTGGCTCCTCCTCCAGCCTGTTTGCCTCTCTGCAGAGGAGGAGGGCTTTGACCCAGGCAGAGAGCCACGGGAAGACCCTTCCTTTCCACAACAACATGTGTGGGCAAACCCCTTTTGGTAGAAGGCTAAGGAGGGTAGGTGGGTAGACTTGGGGCTCCCTGTACCTACCTCGGGGCCACGCGGTCCAGGCTCCCCTTTTTCTCCCTGTGAAACAAACATGGGTCAGGATAACTTGGCCCCAGAGTCCAAATGAACTCTAATTGCTGTGTCCATACCTGACCAGGGCAGGCCACTGACTGCTGTGGGCCTGGAGGTTTGCTTCAGCGACCCCTCCCATCCCTAACAAGGTGATCTTGCTTATCAACACCTACACTTAGAAAAATCCCACAAACCTCTGGGTTAATGCCATGTCACTGCAGGTACATGGAAACACAGCCCTATGTTTGAGGTAACATGTTGCTAACTTTATGGCCTCTTCCTGACACCTGGTACTATCTATCTGCCTTTGGACCCAGCCTCCTCCTGCCCTTTCCCTGTCTCTGGGCGCCGGGGCTGAGGAGCCAGATGCAGAGAAGCGAGGTAGAGCTCAAGCTTTCAGTGAGAGGCCCATACCACTCACGACAATGTCCACCCATCCCAGGGCTTACAGGTGTTCCTGGCCCACCACAGGACTTACAGGTGTTCCTCGGGGTCCTGGGTAGCTGAATCCAGGCCTGCCAGGGTCTCCCTGGAGGATGAGGAAAGCCAGTCAGGGACAGATTCAAAAGGAAATGGAAGACACTGAGTTAGATGGTGTGAACTGGGGACCAAAGGCCCTTGGGTCTGAGTGAGCAAATGGGTGACCAGGGAGTTCTGGGTGTGAGCAGAGGAATATGGTGGGGTTCACTGCTTCCTGGTTACTAAGGAGATTAACGTGCCAAGAGATAGGGGTAGGTGCAGAGAAGCTAAGAGCTCAGGTCTGCAGACCTTGCTGGTCCAGTCTGTCTCACCATGGCCTAGCAAAGATGTGATCCCCTACACAGGATCGATGCAAAAAAGGTCAACCTTGGTCTCACTCTAGAACTGAGAACCCGAAGTTCAGGGCCCCTAATCCAAGACTTAATCCCAATTGCCCACCTCCCACTCTGCTCCCTGGGGTTGGGATGGAGAAAGGAAGTCACGTACCTTGGGGCCAGGGGGTCCTGACTCTCCACGGGGCCCGGCATCACCAGGGTCTCCCCGAGATCCCTGGGAACAGAGGAGAAAGTGAGGTGTCAGCACCATTAGGGACTGATGCCCATCCAGATGGGCACATGATGACCGTGACTCATGCCCACACATATGTCCACTTCTGACCACTAGGAAATGCTGCCCTGCAGATTTGGTAGACATCCTGAGGGTCACTGCCTGGCTCCAGCTCTTCCATGTACCCCACTCTAGGCACCCAGGCCTATCCCCTGCCTCACTGTCCCTCCATCTGCCCTTTTCAATGGACACACAGTATGAGTAGGTGGGGGCATGGGAAAGCTCTAGACCTCACTCAGGGTTGGGACCCTCAGGGCTAGTTTCTTCCTTTAATCACGGAGGGTGCTGGGGGCCTGGGACTGTAAGGCACATGAATGAGGAGGGGCAGGTGTGGTTTCTAGAACTCTTGGCTGCTCTTCCTGCTGCCTGAGTGTGGTCATGGAGACAGTGATGTGTAGCCACCTCTCCTGCCCACAAAGGAGGATGTAGGTGGACTATAGGGTGTGGTGGGGAGGGCAGTGAGGTGATGGGTTATGAAACAGGGCCCAGGGGTTGGCTCCCAAGGCCAGTCCCACGGGTCATGAGGGACCCCCAGAAGGCCTGTACTGACCTGCTTTCCTGGCTCCCCGAGAGCCCCTTGAGGGCCTCTGGGTCCAGGCAGGCCACGATCTCCCTGAAAATAAAAGAAATGAGGTTCAATAATTTTGTTTCACGAAAGGTCCTTTGGGACCCTGTTTTTACCACAGACAGGGCCTTGTACCTGGGAGGAGTGAAGGGTGGGCAGCAGAGCACCCTTGGTCCCTATTGTGCTACCAAAAGGGTTTCTTTCACCTTAGTCCGTCACCTTGCTGGTGGTGGCCTGATGGGGAAGGGAGGGATGTAAGGAAGGCTGAGATGCCCACTCCCCAGCAAGGAAACTGGGCTTTTGAGCTGTTGATCACACTGTGCCTACTGCTCCATTATGGAGGAGGGGTACCTGCTCTGGGGAAGGCTGCTCCTGTCCTTGCCACCCCACTCACCTTGGCTCCTTTGTTGCCAACCTCTCCAGCTAGGCCCCGGGGCCCTTCCGGGCCAGGGTCCCCCTGTGAGAAGAGAGGCCCAGTGAGATCTCAACAAAGATGCAGGTCTGAGAGCCTGGGTGTGGCTAAGGGTGGGGCCATGTAACTCTGCAAAGAAAGTCCATAGGCCATGGCACATTCAGACCTCAGTGTGTGTGTGTGTGTGTGTGTGTATGTCTGCAGGGACACTGTAACAGGACAGTGCAAAGTATGCACAGTTGTGCATGGCATGCATGGGACAGTCCTTGTACAGGTTTTGCATGCAAGTGTGGGGTGGGGTCCTGCTGGCAACCTCCTGCCTTCCCAGACCATGCAGGAAAAGCCCTGGAGTTACCTTTTGTCCTCTGTAAAGTGTAAAGATCTAGGTCTCACACATTTGGATCATGGGGGGTTGGCCCTGGTTGGCACCCAGTGTAGCCCTGGTGATGGGGTGCAGATGCTCCTCTTTCCCCAGCATCAACTCACCTTCTCCCCCTTGGGTCCATCATTCCCAGGGCTGCCCTTGGTTCCAGGGTCTCCTCTGCGTCCCTGCGGAGAGAGGTGTCAGTGGGGAAAGGTTGCCCTGGAAGCCCTCAGGACCCCTAGACTCAGAGGCTTCTCTCCAATAGCGCTGCCCTGAGCCTGAAGCAATGGAGACACTGAGGCACATCTGGAATAGCTGGAGAAAGGAAGTCTGGCACAGAGAGGCCCTGAGACTATTCTTCCCCACATGTCCACCAGGACAGAGTCTGGTGGGAACTCACGGGCTCGCCTTTGGGTCCTCGGGGCCCGGGCCCACCCCGGCCTCCTTTCACGCCGGGACTCCCTGGGGCACCATTGTTGCCTTGATATCCCTGCAGAGATGGGAGAATAGTTCAGCTAGGGCCTCCCAGGAGCTGCTTGCCTCTCCTGCCCAGGCTCTTGGAGCCTCACCCATCCCATGCCAGCCTCTGTCCCAGCGACTGAGCGCCCGTTCCACTGGGACACAGGGAAAGAGGGACTTGCCTTGCTGCCTTTGGCTCCGCTGTCTCCTGGGGGCCCTCTGCGTCCTGGGCGGCCGGAGTCCCCCTGGAAAGATTGGGAGCAATCAGCCTCAGACCCTCAGCAGGATAAGAGGTGGGAGAAGACAGGCAGGGTTGGGTCGGCCTTCCCTCATGTCTACAGAGCACCCAGCATGGCCAGGACTGCCCATGGAGTGATCTCAGGCCTCATCACAGGTCAAGTGCTGGGGTCACCCTCAAGCACTAGTGGAGGGGTCAGCATCCCCATCCCTGCACCCCAAGTCAGTCAGTCAGGACAGACCCCTGCTCAAGGGCTTGAAGCTGGAGGTATGGGCAGGAGTGAGCAGTTTGGGGTCTGGGTCTCCTCCTGCTGAGGTCACTAACTTCAGAGAAAAGTGAATTTCTTGTTTCTCCTGAGTGACCCTGGGCAGTAAGGAACAGTGACACCTCAGGAAGTCTAGCAAAAGGTCTGTGTGGGAGGAGGGTGGCCTGTGGCTGTGGTCAGTGCCTCTGCTGCAAGCTCACTGTCCCCTTACATGGAGCAGGAACCAGTGAAGCTCTGTGCAGGGGCACCCGCAGGCCCCAGGGACAGGCTTCTTGGTGGGCATCTCAGCTTCACTGTGTCCCACAGGCCCAGGAGCAGCAGGTCACCCTTATGGCACAGACACATACCTTGGCACCTCGGTCTCCTGGCTCCCCGGGGTTGCCTGCATCCCCTGGGTAGCCATCAGGGCCCTGCGAAGAAGGAGAGAGAAGTGTGTCCAGGGCCCTGCTGAGTGGCCAGCCCTGGAGTTGAGCTCTGGCTCTTCCTGGGAATAGAGGGCCAGCTAAGGGTGCAGCAGGGGCGACAAGCACCCTGTGCCAGACCTTAGGGGCACTCCTGTCCCACTGTGAGCCCAGCCCTGGAGGGGGCCCTCCTCATTCAGCTAGGCCCTGTCTCAAAAAGCTTCCTCAGGGAGCAGCAGGAGGTCATGTGGCTGAGAGGTGAGATTCATGCTGAAAGGTTGTTTGCTCTACAGAAGAACACCAATGCCCCAGAAACATCTCCAGCCCTACCTCCCAGCCCTGAGCAGGGCAGCTGGACCAGCCATGTGGAGCCCATCCCAGGAGCCCTCAGTTGGTGCGACCCCACCCAAGTTCCCAGTTTCTGGTGATGCTATGCGGGCAGTCAGTGGCTGGCCAGTTAGGGAAGGTGCTGGGTCCGTGCAGAAAGAGGCCGAGTGTGAGGGTAGCCTGGCATCTCCTGGGTCATTAGCTTCTACTGAGCTGTGAGGATTTAAGGTTGAGTGGAACATAGAGCCGCACTTACCCGGTTCCCTGGGTCACCTTTGCAGCCAGGAGGCCCGATGCGCCCCAGCTTGCCCTGGAAGGAGAAGAGGGAACAGATGATGGGTCACGGTGACCACCACTACTCTTGCGTGCTGGTGATAATAGTGCAAACTCAGGCACAGTTGACACCAACTCCACAGAGCTTAGCTAATGATATTCTCTTTGTGAGCCACCTAAGTCGTGTAAACTTGCCTTTTGAGGACTGTACGGTCGTGGTAGTAACTCTGAGAGGGGCAGGAACCAGCCCCCAGAACACTGCGAGGATACAGGAGCCTGGAGTTCCATTATTCTGTGTGTATGTGTGTGTGTGTGAAAGTGTGTCTGAGAGTGTGTGTGAGCTGCCAGGTTTCCTCCTTGTGTGTGTGTGTGTGAACGACAAGTCCCCCCAAATAAGTGAATGTGTGCATGTTGTGTGTGAACTACTGCGAGTTGGGTAGTGGCCAGCAAGGCTCCTAGCTCAGCCCCTTGGAAGGGCTGAAAACTTGAGAAGACATCTAAGTGTGGGGCAGGCAGCACCCATGAGGATGGTTTGAGCTGTGTGGCTGCTGTATTCTGACCTATAACACTGGAAACTCTTTACATCCTGGGACATAGCATGTGGGTCACTCTACCTTCTGTCCATCGGTCCCGTTCTTGCCAGCCAGGCCTAAGGATCCCTGTGAGGGAGAATGAAGACGAGACTCCATTAGCTCCGATGGTCATTCCCTTAAGCAGAAGAAAGGTGGGTACCCACCTGACCCAACCTGCTTACCTTCCGGCCATCAGCTCCAAATTCACCCTGCACAGAAGGAAATCGAGGTCATTAGCTGGTACCTTCAGCCCCAGACACCGTTGCTGTTGTTTGTGGGGTTTAAGTCTAGCCCATATATGAGGCTGAAAAATCCCTCAAGACAAAATCACCCACAGGAAGAGGCCCAGACTTGTCCCCTCCAAGACTTGCGGTGGGGTTATAGGGATGAGTCTGTGGTTCAGGTTCCATTTGTGGCCTGTTCAGAATCAGAATCTCACCTTCTCTCCTTTGAAACCAGGAACACCCTGGACAGGAAAAAGGAAAAACCATTAGGCTGAGGCTTACAGGTGAGAGAGACTAGACAGGGCAGGATTCCATAAAAGCAAGGGCCTAACACAGACCGACAGGCTGAGGGGAGAGATAGTAAGTGGGATTAGGCGGTTGGAAGATGCTGGAAAATTCTAGACAAGCCTCTGAGGGCATTGCTGAGCAACAGCCTTGGGATCATGATCATCAGCCTTGGGTGGAAGAGATGGATGCAGGGTCAGGCCAGACACCTGGTTTTGGGACGGCCTTTATCATGGTTCTTAAATTTCTTGGTAATGAAGCAGATGAGATGTGTCAAGCATACTTGTCATTTAAGAAAAACTGATGCTCCTTTTGAGGGCAAAGGCTTGGGGCAGAAGCCTGCCTCTGGTCAGTGGTTCCTTAAGTCCCAAGTCAAGCCCTTCTATGTTAGCCATCCTGTCACCCCTCCGATCTGGAACCTGAACACCCTTGGTTTGTCTCCAGTCCCCAGGATAAAGACCAAAACTTGCCTTGGGTCCTGGGAATCCAATGGGGCCTTCGATGCCAGGATCTCCCTGTGGAAGAAGAACACAGAACCATAGCAATGAAACAGGCCCTGGGGTATGGAGACTGGTAGGAGATGGTGGGGATCAGTGGGAAAGGGACACTCACCTGATGACCCTTCTGTCCAGGTTCTCCTGGCTCACCCATGTTGCCCTTGGCGCCCTACAAACAGACAATAGGAACAGTGGTAGGTGATGTCTACTGCCGTCACTATCATCCTCACTGCCTCTCTGAGTCTAACTGCAACAACCCCCACGTGACAGCTTCCAATGATTATCCAATGACTTCCAAAGGCACCCCGCCCCCCCCATAAGGCACTAGGGGCACTGCACTGCTGTGGGTGGCCAAAGCTGTGTACTACTGGCACATTCATTGCCAGGGTTATGGTGGTGCTGGGCACTACCACTCAGGATTGGAAGAAACCAGGAGAAGGAAGTGGGGAGAGTTTGATTGTTAGCTGGAAATTTCTCATCCTGGCAGAAAGTGCATCTACATTTTTGCTGGCCAAGAGAACTCTTCCTTAAATTTAAAAAGAGAAGGAAGCACAAAGCTACTAAGCAATAATTTTATCTATTTATAACATTATTCTAAAGTCTATGTCTAATCTCCTTACAAGTCCCTTTCCCCTTCCCTGCTTTTCTTTACATTTTTTTTTTATACATATGGATTAATTGCTGAAGTTTCTGACGTTTTCTAGTGATGAATTTTGCAAGGATTTATTTTTTATACTGTTGTTGTCAGGAAAATGCAGGACCAGTCAAAACAGACTTTTAAACTGATTTATCTAATACACTACAAAAGCAGGTGTTGTTGTTAAATGCCATCAAGTCGAGTTAGTTCTGACCCATAGTGACCTTATGTAGTGTTTCCAAGGAGCATCAGGTAAGCTTGAACCGCCAATCTTGAAGTTCAAACTGACTTTGCAGTTCAGCGCATAAACCCACCAGCAGTCCACAAAAGGAGGTACATGATACCAACTAGCAATCATAATTATTAACAGTAATGCCTCTTCTGTTTTATTTGCTCATGTGACATGCTTGTTTACTTTCCAAGCATGGCATATCTGTGTAATTAAAAAATTTAACAAATCTACTTTTCTGAAAATGTCCTTTAAAAGGAAGTAAACAAACCCAGAATTTTAGTTCTTCAGAGTTAGAGGAATTGGGACTCATCTGCTGACCTTAAATGCTGTACTCAATGACTAGCCAAGGGGCTTCACTTCCCAATGGGGTGGGCCCTCTGTAGTCTGGGCATCTTACCTTCTGTCCTCGGTAGCCCTTAGGGCCAGCAGGGCCAGGAATCTCCAGGCAGCTCACTTTGTAACACTGGAATAAGAAGATAAAGCAAGAGCTGTAAAGTCCAATGGGCATGGCAATCCGTGAGATGGTGACAAGGCTGGGGATAAGCATGGGCTGATGATTCTCAGGAGCCAATGGGTCCTTGAAACACCAGGGTGGCAGTATCTTGACCAGTGTGTGTGCAGGAGGTGTCCCAGAGCAGCAGGTCAGGATCACGTGGACCAGGGGTAGGGAAGAAGGGTTAGGGCCATTGGATCAGAGGCAGAAGGGGATGGGATGGTCAAAATCATGAAGTCAAGAGCTCCAGGAAGAACTCGGCCTGAGGGAAATGAGGACACAGAGACACAGAAGGGCTCTCCCCAGCCTAGGCCGAACTGGTTTGGAAAACCCTGGTGGAATTAAGACTGGTGACGACTGAGAATGGTGGTTGGTGGTGGTGTTGTGCCGTGGAGTCAGTTCCGACTCTCAGTAACCCTGCATAGGGTTTCCGAGGCTGTAAATCTTTATGGGAGCAGAAGGCCTCATCTTTCTCTCACAACAACTGAAGGTAATCAGGGCTTAATAGTATGGAGCGTGCACCAGGCATGTTTACAGAGAAGTACCAAACTTCTGGTTTGTGAACAGCTATGCATAAGCCTCAGACACTTGCCCCCTTCCTGGGGCTCTGAGCTAGGCGTGAGAGCAGCAACGGAGACTTGTAGGGATGTGGTGGGAACATCATGAGGCTCGGCCATCAGCACCCCTGGAGGAATAGGGTTCACCCTGGACACATCACGACCCGTGTTCAATAGTGCTCCAAGGCAGTCCTGTGCTACTTCTGACTCTGGCTCAATTGGCTAGCTTAGGTGTGTGACTTTAAGATCCTCTACTTACCACACTTATAATGAATGAACCCTAACCTGATCTTCAGGGTCTCAGTCAGCCTGGTTTTGGCTAGAGCCCGTTGTTCCGACATGGAACATATATTTGGCTCCTGCTGTTCTTCTCGGAGTGTTCCATCCACCCCAGCCCTGCGGAACCCTGGAATGTTGGGTGGTCTCTAGTCAGCCGCATCCTAGAGGGCAGGGCCAGTATGCAGACCAGGAAATGTCACTCACCTCGCCATAAGCTTCGTGTTTCTAGAAAAGACAAAGAGAGCCTGGTTAGATAAAGACTTAAGACCCAGCACAGTTCTGCTGCATGTGTTGGCATTGCAGGACATGGGTGGGTGGGGCCCTGAGCTCACCAACTCTGGTCTCCTCGCTTACAGAGGGGGTAAACTGAGGTTGGGAGTGGGCAGTCACCACACCTGGTTGGTGGACAGTGGCCCTGGCTGCAGTCCCCAGTTCCCTGAGGCTGTGGCAGCTCACCATGACTTTGATGATGCGGTCGATGGTGTCCTGATCAATTTCGGTGGTGCCAGGCAGCATGGTGGCATAGTTGCTGCGGTACAGTTCATATGGTGTGCTGGCGATGTCCCGAAGACCCTGCTCATTCAGGTTGGGGTTGGGGGCCACAGCGAAGAGCCTGATGCCTGCCTCTCGTGCCCGCTCAGCCTGCAGCTTGATGCCCCCACAGGGGCTGCCGGTGACGTGGCCATCAGTGATGATCACAGCGAAGTTGACTGCGTCCTTGTTGCCAAGCCGCCGCACCTCCTGCGTCATGTTGGCTAGTGCGCAGTCAGTGAAGGTGCCCCGGCGGAAGGAGCGGATGCCCTGCAGTGCTTTGGTGAAGGAGGCACGATCGCTGCCCACTGGGCTGAACACCTCCACTTGGTCAGAGAAGTGCAGGCCACCATAGCGCCAGCTTAGGGCCACCTGGTCCAGGTAGAAGGAGTCCTGCAGCTGGCTAATGAGAGCCGGCACGAATTCTTGCATGTGGGTGAGAAGGCTGTCAGTGGGTGACTGCATGGTGACGCTCTCCGAGGTGTCCAGCACGAAGTACACATTGACGGGGCAGTCGGTCTTCTCTGTGTGGGGGGATAGGGGTGGTCATGGCTCTGCAGGGGGCCTGTGGTGTGAGCTTGATCTCTGAAGGATGGGGACATACAGGATATGGTGACTACTCCACTATGGAAGAGGGTGTGGTATGAACCTGACCCCACGGTTACGGCCCACCATGGAGGGGCCCATGGGCCAAACCTGGCCTCTGCAAGGAAACAGGAAGTGGTAACAGCCCTGGCGCCCATAGTACTTACAGCTGGCCCTCCAGGGTTCCAAGCATGTTGTCCTGGGTTCTGTATCCTTACCTCTGACTCCCCTACACCTAGGCCCTCATTGCCACCTGTGTGTCCAGAGTCCCTGGGCTCCCTGATCTTGTGTGTGTGCTGCTGTGTCCCTCTCACCCACATGAACTCCCCTCACCCCACCACGTGGTACCTGGGCAGTTAGTGCCTCTCTCGGAGATGCTGGGAGAAATGACCTCTTGTTGCTGGGCATGAAGCACCCCTACGAGCCCCCAGTACAGGAGCACGTAGTAGGTGCCTCGGAACATCTTGGCAGCCCCTGTCCACTTGATGTCCTGCAGCAAGGAGAGACCATGGCAGATAGTATCCCCACCACACATCCTGTGTTGTCTGGGTCCCACCGGCCCTTAGGATGGTGCTACCCCCTTATTCCCAAGGAGTCCTCCTACCCACATAGTGGATGTCATGATGGGGGCCCCTCTCTCAAGGAAGTGGGAGACAGATGGAGCCTCTCCTGGCCCACACTGTCAACAGCATGTGGGCTGGGAAGGCTATAGCACCCTCTCCACTGTCAGTGGTCCACAAACATTTACTGTGCACATGAGTGCAAGCTGTAGGCTAATCTGGGTGGGATTCTGAGCCTCACAGCTCATCTCTGTCCTGCAGAGCAGGGGTGCTACACGTATACAAGGTGTGTTTGTGCGGAGCTGAACAAAAGTGACCTTCGTCAGAGGTGACCACATGGGTAGAAGGGTCAGTCAAAGGCCTCTGGGAGGAGGGGTACCAGAGGACAAGAACGAAGAGACCCAGAGCTGGGGTGGGCCCTGGTGCAGAACATGTTGTCTGATCCACCTGACACTGACCAGGCTGGGAGGGAGCAGTGGGGGTGGGCGGAGGTGGGGTTGGGATAAGGGAAGATTGTAGGCAGAACGGTAGATGTGCCTGTGAGGGAGGTGGCTGGATGCTTACATACATGACATGGTTGCCTCTTTGTTGGGGAACATTGGTTTAACTGCCTATAATGTGGGAGAGCCTCTCCAAGAATTGGCCTCGTCTACATCACACAAAACAACACATCACATTCTCGTAACACATAACATACATGCAAACAAACAACACACACACCACACCTTCCCACACCACACTATGTACACACCTCTACCTGACCCCCTCGTCTTCCTGATAGGCTTGGATTCAGCTAGCCAGGACCCTAAGGAATACCCGTAAGTCCTAGGGTGAGTAGGCACTGGGGTGAGTGGCCCGGGGATCTCACTGAGGACTGGACTGGAGCTCTACCTAGCTGTTTTGACCAGGCTCCTCATCCCTGTACACAGTGACAAAGAAAGGGCAGGAAGGGTGTCTGATCAGGTCCAAAGTCAGACCCCACCAGGCGTCAGTGAGAGACCATGAAATCAAGATGGCCAACGGCTCCTCAAAATGAACGACATGTGCTGCCACCAGGAGCTTCCAAGGGGAAATCCCTGAAGGACTTTCTGCATTTCTGCAGCAGGTAATGTCAATGGGATGACCCAGGCTGGACTAATCCAGCCAGGGTTGAGAGGAGGTCTCTGGGGCATGTCATAGAACCCAGCAGAGTGACACAGACCTTTAGAGTTGCACTGGGGGAGAGTATGTTGTTGTTAAGTGTGTTGAGTCAGTTCTGACCCATAGTGACACTACATAGGGTTTCTAAGGAGCAGCTGCTCAAACCCACCAGCTGCTCGTTAGAAACCCTATAAAGGGTTGCTATGAGTTGGAACCGACTCAACGGCACTGAACAACAACAACAACAACATCTTAGAAACCTGGAGATAGGAAATATGCAATCTTTAATAATAATAATAAAAAAAATTCAGTCCCAGAGTAAGCTACAATGACATTTCAATAAATTAAAAAAATGAAAAGTGTGCAGGTCAAATTTCCTGAGCCATAATACAAAACTAGTTATTAAAAGGATATAGAGAAAAAAAATCAAAGCTGGAAGTAAAAAAAAAAAAAAAAAACAACTCTCTTATGAAAACTGCAAGACTTAATGATGAGAATGTTACACAAAAACAAACATGAGAAAGCCAAAGCTATACTTAGTGGAAAATACATAGCCTAAGTGTTTTTATTATTAAATTTTAAATTCGTATGAACGCATCAGGCATGTAGTTCAAGAAGATGAGAGGTGGAGACCGCTGCAAGCAATGCCAGGAAATCAAGAAGGATAAATAAAAATAAAATAAACTTTAAAAAACTGATTAAAAAGTACCCAAAGTTCAGGCCAATAAAATAGAAAAACATCTAGCAAAATAAAAAGGAGATGAAATATACAAATTTAGGAATTAATAAAACAATATAATGATAGATGGATAAGGTTTTTTCTCAGAAGCATACCAGGTGCATAGTACCAGGTACTATGGTAATGTGAAAGACCACTTTCTGGAAAAGGTCTCAAGAAGAAGTGGAGAATAAGCTGTATGGAATGGAAATGCTGGGAAGGAAGTGCATCCCTAAAAGAATCGGTCCCAGACAGTTTTTGAGAGAAAGAAAAAAACCTTTTGTGCAGAACATAAAAAACTTAACCGCTTCTTTGAAATTTCATTTTAAACATGACATTACTTTGAGGTCAAACCCTAATAAAAGCAATTCCTGAAAGGAACTCTACAGACAAGTTTGTTTTGAAGATAGCTGCAAAAATCTTAAACTATATTATAAAATCAAATCTATATTAAGGTATATCTTAGCAGAACGAAGATGAGCTAGTTTAAAATACAATGCTGCAACACTGTTGTTGTTGTGTTTGTATAGTGCTGCAAATCAGCTCTAACTTATAGTAACTCTGTATAGGGTTTCCAAGACTGTGAATCTTCATGGGAGCAGAAAGCCTCATCTTTCTCCTGCAGACTGATGGGCTCAAACTGCCAGCCTTGTGGTTTGCAGTCCAGTGCTTATGCTACAGAGCCATCACACTCCTGCTGCAACACTAGCAAGGAGAAAATCACGTAACCTCTTTAAGAAGTCCCCCAATATCCATTCTTGATTAAATAGAAAGGAGAGGGAAAAACTCATAGGAAAATAGGAGAAGGATTAACACTGTAAAGGACACAAATTTGAAATCAACATATTGTATAGGAAAAACTAAAATAGTGGTTCTTTGTGGGTCATGGGCCTCTTTAAGGATCTGGACAATTTTGCTTGACATAAATGTATACAGAAACAATGCTTAATAATTTAGGGAGTCTTTCATGAACCTAAACATTCCTGTACTAGTGCAATGCTCATTAGAGATTTTTTTTTTAAATAAAAAGACAGAGTACTTATTTTACTTTATGACTCATTTGTGTTGGAAGCCAAAGCAGTAAGACAGTAAAAGTATAAATCTTGATGAAGAAGAGATAAAACTGTCCTTATCATAGATGGGATTGTGTCTCTAAAAAACCCCCAAGAAAATCTACTTAACAAAATTGAGAGAAAGAGAAAATTCAATGAATCAGAAGAAAAAAAATACAAAAATCGAATTGATTTATTTCTAGATCAATAACAACCAATTGAAAATGTTACAGAAAAAAAAAAATGAGGTTACTCCTCTTACAGAAAAACAAAGCAAAACAACCAAAAACCAAAAACCAAGTCCAAGAAGTAAACATAGTTAAGAATGTGCAGGTTTTATAAGAAAAACCAACCAAACAAGAAAGCTTCCTAATGAACAACTTGGCAAAGCAAACCTTGATTTTTATAGGAAACACAATTTTAAGAATGCAAATTATTTCTAAACAAATCTATAATTGAATGTAATTTAGATTAAAATCGACTTATTTTTTGCTGGGGAAATTTGATGAAATGAATGGAATGAAAGTTAAGACTCACCTGGATGAACAAGCAAGATTATGAAAATTGAGAGGGAACTTACTCTATCAAGTATAAATGATGAAATAAAATTACAGTCATTAAACAATTTTGGTTTTAGTGCTGGAATAGACCAACAGACCACACAAGAGGCACAAGCAATTACAAGAACTGGGGAAGCAAGATGCTCATTTTGAAGACAGTAGGTGATTGGGAAGGAGTCTTGGTGTGGTGCTATAGAATAAGTACTGGACTGCTAACCACGAGGTCAGCAGTTCAAACCCATCAACCACTCCTAGGAATCCCTACACAGGGTCACTGAGTCGGAATAAACTCAACAACACTTAACAACAGTAGGAGATTGGGGCAAGGGCTTACCATGTGACTAGAAATAAAGGTAGATCTTTACCTAACATGTTGTGCCCAAGAGAACGAAATATCTAAGTTCCTGACATAAACCAAAAAGTTTCTGAACTAGACAGGACAAAGTAACAATGAAATATCTTTACTACACACTATTTTTATATCCATTCATTTAACATTCACAACTACCCTCAGAGGTAGGTACTATTAACATGTACATTCTACAGATGAGGATACTGAGCCCCAGTATATGTAACTTGTGCAAAAGAGTTGACAAATAGTGCCAGAGTCATGGTTGAACCCAGGCTGTGTGGTTCTGAGTTTGCACTCTGGACATTTGTTGTCAGTGCTGTGGAATTGGCACTAACTCATGATGGTCTTAAATATAATGGAAGGAATGAAATGTCTTGTGTCATCTTCTTAATTGCTGGTATATTTAAGTCCATTGTTGCAACTAGTTTTCAACCCACCTCATTGAGGGTTTCTCTGTTTCACTGACCCAGCTACTTTACCATAAGTGATATCCTTCTTGGTGCGAGTCCTTTTTTTGTTTTGCATAAAATGCAAACAGGGCCATATTTAAAATGAAAGAATCAACTATCTTGTGTTTTTCTTAAAATAACCATGAGCAACATTTCCTAAGCATTATAAAGTCTTTTGTGCCTATTAAAATGGTATGTATACCTGGAGACTCTCAGCAGCTCTGTGAAATAAGAAAAATGAACTTGTTAATTAAGCCTGACTTCATTTTTCAGATGAAACTAGGCTCAACCTAGTGGCTCCTCAGGCATGATGCCCATTTTCCACTCAGGTGCTGCATCTGTGGCCTGTCCTGCTGCCGTGACTCCCTATGGTCCTCCAGAGCCCTTAGATAGGATCCCTTCATGACAGAGCTGCTACATGCTTGCCCAGCGCCACCACATCCATGCCTTGTCATGTTTCCTGTTCTTTGTTGCACACAGTTCTGGGCACACATCTCTTGCCCAAGATCATCAAGAGGCACGTGTTTACAGCCTTCTCAGTGTTTCCACTGCCAACACGTCTAATAAGTGCCCAAATTCTTCAGAGACCCACTCCCCAACTCGCTAACACCATCAGAACTGTCTGAATGACCCAATGTCCC